GAAGAGCTCATCAGGCCCCTGTCGGATATTGGTGAGAGAAGTCAATTTTTTGTCACCGATTTTAAAATGGCCATTGTGTAAGGTGTAATGGCCCCGTATTGAGCTGTGGCCGTTTTAAATTTTTTAATAACCTTAAAATCAAAACCACTGTGGTGTCTCCATGCCTGTCCCTGTGTGTCTGCAGTCTCAGTTACAGGAAAGACTTCCACAGTTTCAAGTTCTAGGGGTACCCTTGATCCAGATGGCACCCTGGGGGTCGCCCCTCTAATGGGGGGTCCTGGCTTAAATTTGTCCTCTCTACGGACATTTTCATGGGCTTTGCCTGTTTTTAAGCCTTTGAGCTGGGCAATAAGTTCTTGATGTTCCTTTTCTAATCTTATTTGTTCTTTTAGAAATTTTATCTTGTCCCGGAGTTCCTTTTGGGGATCAACAACAGGGCATGTCAAAGCCGACGCAATGGGAGTGTTGGGTTCTGGAAGATAAGGAGGCGGACATTGAACTACGGGTGGCCAATCAGGATTGCGATATCTGGTTGCCTCCTCCTCAAGATTGGTCCAGTCAGCCTCCCCCGGACAGTTCTGTGGGAAGGGGGAGTTTCTGAAGTGTCGGAGGGAAGGCTTCAAGGCTGGTTCCTCCTTAACAGGCGGGGCGGGGTCAGAGGCAGGGGCTGAAAGAGCGGAGGCGGAAGCTGAGGAGCGCCGAAGCTTTTCTTTAAAAGGCTTGGAAGAGGCAGAGCCCGCCTGTAAGCCCTCATCAATAACATTTTGTTTTTTCTTGTCTGAGTCATCGTCGCTGTCAAAAGACATCAAGTCTTCTCCTTCATCCTTTGAAGGAGTCCCGTCCCGCAGGGGCTCGGGCCTCGGCGCCATCTTGGCGTCCCGCAGGGGCTCGGGCCTCGGCGCCATCTTGGCGTCCCGCAGGGTATTTACAAACTCTTCACTCCGAGGGAGAGTGATCGACCCTTTCTCTGATCGGAGAGCTATCTCCCCGACCTGGATGGCTTGAGCCACCACCGGATCTTTGGTTTTCTGAGAGATAATGTCATTAATAAGATTCCAATAAGAAAATGTAGTGATCGGGACCTTTTCTGGTCTGCAAGTAGCATAATAATCCTTAAGGGCCTCCCCTACTCTTTCCCATCACCTCTCCTCAATGGTACCCTCGGTGGGAAACCAAGGGCAGAGATCTCTAATATAATCAAAAAATTTTAACAACTGTTTGACTGTAACCTTTACCCCTCGTGCCTGTAAAGTTTCTTTAAGACCTTGTACAAATAACTCATGCTGGCTAATGCCCTGTCCCATAATCGCTGCTCAACTCACCGAGGTGCAGGAAAGAAGGCAGGTTCATGTCAGACGCAATCCTCTTTATTTTATTTTATTTTATTGGGCCCCCAGCAGCATTCTTTACTGGATCCCCCGTTCTCTGGCCCCAAGCTGGGCGCCACTTGTCCCGGCCCGAGGGTAAGTCAAGGGAGACCCTAGAGGGGGAGTGAGAATAACAAAGGACAGGGGACAGGAGATGGAGACAAGACAAGTTTCTGATCAAGTCTCCTTTATTGCGGAAGCTGCTACAGCATATATACTGTAGGGCTAGAGGGAGGGAGCAAGGGGAGGGTACTGGGGCTACTTCCTTGTTGCCGGGTAGACTTGCAGCAGGCTTAGACATGTCCATAAAAGGCATTCAAGAGTACTAGCTGGGGGGGGGGAGGACAAGGCCCCCCACAGGGAAAGGTCTCAGGGGAGAGGAAGTTAATGGAGAGAGACAAAGGAATAGAAAACTATCAAAATATGTTCTCACACCAATTTCCAAAATAAATATAACTATTATGTATCACAAATACACACTTATGAAATAAGAAAGAAGTAAGTGACACAATATACAACAGAATTTGATAAAAAGTCTAATGTGATATGGGACATCTGTCTTCACACAGGTGAGTAAGTTACATATCCCTGAGAGCATCTGGTCATTTTCCTTGTCATTTGTCAACATCTCACACTGGAGATAGGACTATGAATTTGGAAGCAATTCAATATTATCTATAGTGAATACCATCTGCATCACACAATTACCCCTAATTTTTGAGGTGCACTATTTTGGCCTGAGATTGAAGCTAATTAAAGTCTGGTGACTCTGTCCCTCTGGGTCATTCACTGCAAATACTTCTAGACCATTAGATGGATTACTAAGAAGTTGGCTAAGTTAGATATTAGCTGACATACAAACCAGTTTCTAAACCTCAATAGTAGTAGTGAATCATAGATACCCGGCTCATTTCCAAAATTTATGACTTCCCACCTACCCCTAGCCAATTGCATTCTTTTTTTAATCTAAAAGAGGCTTAATGCTGAGTAGGGAGAGATTACTCCTGATCACAGAAAATCTAGCCATAAGCAGCTCTAAGAGGCAGGAGGGAGTGGGGATAAAGAGAATTTAAGTTAGAAGTCAAACTGGGGTATAGCACATCCTGTACTTTGCATGGTAATGTTGATTCTACAGAGAATTTATATGGCTATTGTTAATTCTCACAGATGCTGGATTTTGGTGGTTTGCCAAAAAAAAAAAAAAATCTGTGACAGTCTTTGATACATGTTTGGTAGGCTGCTCAGAATTCAGATGGATGGGAAAACTGCAAGCCTCATTTCTGTTTGACTATCTGCACAAGTCATAGCATTAATAGCGGTATAAGAAAGAGCTTTGTCTGATCAAACCTTGTATGATATGGAGCAGGCACCACCATGTGGCTAAACTCAGTAACCAAGAAGCACTGTACCATGAATTTGTCCTTTTGTATTTAGAAAACCTGTCTGCTTACTGAGCTATGACTCTGGTGATGAGTGTATCTGAAACTGTCTTGTATGTATACCTGGCAAAAACTCAAATCATTCTAGCAATAAGGGCAAATTGTGCTCCAAAATAACCTAGATCATTTTAATCTGGAAGATTTTTCAAAGGTCAGTAAAATCCTATAAATTAGTAGGCATAACACTGCTCTCATTTTGAGTAGATCCACCTACTCAAAATGTCTACTAAGGAAATAATGGAAATATGTTCAAAGTTATTTGAATAAATATGTTCAATACATATTTATTCTATCAAATTAATTAAATTATGAAATTTTCTTAATTTTGCAAGATCAAATTAATAGATAATTTAGAATTTTTTATAGTGACAATTTGTATTTCTACTCGAATAATATTTTCAGAATATAGTTTTCTCTATATTCAAAGCTTTTACTTCCTAAAAAGTGACATGCAGTGTACTTCAGACATTTGGTTCATTGTTAACATGTATGCAAAATATTTAGTGAAATTTTAAAAATAAGGACTGCTAAAAGAAAACACAAATAAGTTAAGCACATGTTGATTTTTGTACAGTTTAGGTTTTAATGTTTAAACATTAGCTCCTTTATGTTTTTATCTGTTTTGAGCTTTTTGTTAGTTTTATTCCAGTTACAAGTTCATAAACTTATGAAGGTAAAGTTATAAAACCCAAAAGTGTAACCTCATCATCTCATTGAACACTGTGATTAGAAATGGTATTTAAAATTTTAGGTTTATGATTCTAGAAAGTGGGCCCATAGATTACAAGATTTTCCAATTAAAAAAACTATTTGGAGGTGAAGAGGCAGTGAAGTTGATAATTGTTTTCAATATTCTCTATTTTAATAAGAATTTAGCCAGCTGTTCCCAGTATATGGTAAAATGCCTGTGATGTACCTGTGGTGTGTACTGAGAATCCCCACTCAGAGAGAATGTTAAATCATTTGATCTACAAATTGACACAAAACCTGTGCTGAATGGCAGCACTTCCAATCCATTTTGTTTGTTCCCCAGACTTGTTACAGTTTTTGACAGTAATGAAGGTAAGCTTTTATTTGATTTATGTTAAAATTATTTTTGTGCTTCAGGGGTAGGGTGGGGTGGGAACCACGGAGGAAGTAACCCCACAGCATCTCCCCCAGGGCCACCGCATGTGTCTCCTCAGCCCCCTCCCTTACTGTTGCCGAATTTTCTCCCAGCAGAAGACCTGAGCTGCTGCTTCAGAGAAACCAAGTCCCAGACCTGAATGCCCTCAGCATGCTGCCTTCTGCACAGCCTCCATCTGCCTCTGTTTAAGCCTCCTTTCATCCAGAGTGCAGGGCATCTCTGAGGTGGGCCAGCCCAGGACTGGGTCCTAACTGCCAAACCCAAGAATCTCATCCCTGTTTTTTGCTTACCCTCCTTGTCAGACTGACCTGTTATCTGTCTATTCAAGCCCAGTACCTTTCCTATCCTGATGCTTGGGAACAAGTCCTCTGGGAGGGACTTCATAAGAGGAGCTCTTCCCCAAATTCTGGCATTCCATCATCCTCAACTCCATGATATTCTTGGTCTATACCCTCACCTTCCTGGGAAACACTGTCCTGATCATTCTCATCTGGGGGGAACTCTCAGTTTCACATGCCCATGTACATCCTCCTCGGCCAGTTCTCTCTCATCCACTTGAAGTTGACATCCACTATCATCCCAAAGGTGGCCTTCAACTTTTTCACAGGCCAGAGGAACATCTTCTGGACTGGCTGTGGAATGCAGAGCTTCTTCTTCCTGATGCTGGAAAAGTCAGAGTGCCTCATCTTGACTCAGGATTTATGTGTAAAAAACTCAGAAAAGATTAGTAAAGAATCAGTTATTTACCAAAAGAGAGGGTTGTTTAAATAGATCACACTGGGGTCTTCACCAGTTCTCTTCTCTTCCCCTCCCATCCCCTCCCCTCCCCTCCTCTCCTCTCCTCTCCTCTCCTGTCCTCTTCCCCTTGCCCTCTCTTCCATCAGCTGCTCACCAGCACCAATGCCCCTGCCTTGCTCTCAGACCTCCAGAACTGTTTGCTAAAATGCATTTGCGAAATGAAGTACTCCCCACATGTACTGTTCTATGCTGATCACAAAACAGACCAAGACACAGAACAGCTAAGCTTCCTCAAGAAACTATGGATTAAAAAATTCCTACTGAACATTATTTTTCCCTGTATAAACCAAGGACCAGGAAATTTCATGGTTACAGAGGACAGGATTCTCCATTTCTGAGCTTGGAAAAGCTGTGTGGGGTCACCTCCTTCTGAGGAGAAACCTTCTGGCCAGTGCAGTTCATGGGTTCAGTTGAGCCCATGTTCAGTTGCCTTGAAGGGGTACAAGATTGGAATAGAAAGGAGTTTTATTATACATTTATATAGTGTTTGGTGTTCTTCATTTATTCCGTAGTAAAGAAATATCTTACAGTTTTTTAAAAGAATAATTGAATCTTGGAAACAGAATAGCTGTGAATGAATTTTTATGCTCTGATTTTAATTGTTCTAGCCTTCTGTGTGGGCCATGCATGATTTTGTAATGTGTTGTTCTGTTTCTTTGGAAAACACCAACTCAGAGAGTGAAATTGCTCTCCAAATCATCACCATACATTGTGCAAGGACAACGTTTTAGGTGTTTACTTAGTACAAGTATCATTCATCTCATACTCAGTTGTGAGCTTGGAAATTCATTGAATCTCAAGTGATAAATGAAAACTATTTTAGTGCTTCATATTTATTAAGGGTCACATATATAAACTACTTAAAACTCTATTGGAAATTTAATTAGTCTCAATGGTATGGCAAAGAATCCTAGCCAATTAAGGCTGGAGGAAATGTGGGCTCCTTGGACCTGGGATCCTCTGGTCCCTGAAGCTCCTTTGAAGTGTGACCTCCATGTGTCTTTGGTGAACACTCACCATTGTCTCAGGTATTTCAGAAGCAGTGGTGCATGCAAGATTCACACTGGGAGTCTCACTGAGATGTGAGTTTGCATTTTCCTCACTGAAGAAGGAAGTAGGAGCAAGGATCACATTAAGACCCTTCACATTGAGCAAATGCAACATTAGTGTTATTCATGTTATTCAATTATTACCACTGCTTAGGTGAGTTTTTACATGTCAATTTATGTATTTCTATTGACACAGGTAACGCATAGGTCACATACAAGCACCTGTGAAATACTACAAAATTGTAAACTAATGTAACTATGTCAGCCCCATATGACATATGTATGCTGAGCGGATAGACAAATTGCTTCAGATTTTAGAGTTTATTAATGGCAATTAGTTATTCAAATGCTCTCCCAGAATCTGTTTCATATATGGATTGTCAAAAGACAGAAATCATGCTGATGGAAAATTACCTTGGAATAGAGCACAAGGCCATGTGAATTTAAGCTGGATTTAAAAGGATAACTAAGAAGTCTATAAGCAAACAAAATTTATGGGGTCATTTCATTAAAATCATTAAAATGATATCAGTAAAATCAGTCTTCAGATTAGGAAAAAAAAAGTTGAAATTTCTACTACGGCCATTATTATGGGCAAATTTTGATAGCAGCTGGATTGTA